CTCCTCCTCCTCCTCCTCCTCCTCCTCCTCCTCCTTCTTCTTCTGTTTCCTTTTCACGTTATGACTATTATGAAATGAACCTGCAGGTTGAGATAGTTTTGCCTTGCTGTCCATATTCACCATTTAGAAAACTTTTAAGCCCTTGATAAGAAAGCTATAAACAGAATTAGGAAGAGAGGATTGCAGCCCCGTAGCTCTGGAGTGGGGTTTACCCCTGATTATGTTCACTGCACGTGTGGTTTGACCGTTGTCCTTTCTAAAAATGAACAAAAGAGAGAGGGGATTATCTTTTATCATCCTAGACCAGGGGTAGACAACCTTGGCTCTTTTAGGACTCGTGGACTTCAACTCCCAGAATCCCTGAGCCAGCCGTGCTGAGGGGAAAGGGAGAGGTTTCCAAGCTGAGCCGTGCTGGCTCAGGAATTCTGGGAGTTGAAGTCCACGAGTCATAAAAGAGCCGAGGTTGCCTACCCCTGTCCTAGACTAGTGTTTATCAACTCTGAGAACTTTGAGCTGGGTGGATATCAACTCCCAGAATTCCCCAGCCAGTTTAAAATTCCCGAAGTTGAGAAACACTCTTTCAGTTACTCTTTCTCAGCCCTAGATAGGAGGCAACGGTAAACCACTTCTGGAAACCTTGCCAAGATAACTGTGGAGACTTGTCCAGGGAGAATCAGACGCAATCGAAAGAAAGAAAGAAAAAAGTAGGGTGAGAAGGTTTTACGTGAAGAGAGTGTTTATTTTTGCTCTTCCTGGACGTCGCTTGCTCTTTTTCTATATTTTAATGTTCCAAACCAACTTTTAAATAGCATGAACCACCCAGACATATTATAGCAATAGCACTTAGACTTATCGATTACCCCACAGTGCTTTATAGGACTCTCTGGATGGTTTACAATGTCAGCATATCGTCCCTAACCATTTGGCTGCTCGTTTGATCGATTTCGGAAGGAGGGAAAGCTGAGTCAACCTTGAGCCCCATCTGGATCAAACTCCCGGCAGCGGGCAGAGTTAACCTGCAATACTGTATTCTCACCACCAGGGATCCTACGTTATATGGAGCTGGGCAGCCTTACTAATTTCATGAAATAAATGCATCAAATCTGGCTTTTGGTTGCCCGGGGAGGTCTTATCTTAGATTTTTCCTTCCTTTTCCAGTGTTTTTTAAGCTCTTAAGACATTTTGGGGGAAAAAAGTACTTCTTCCACCGTCTCTCCCAACATAAAAACTCTGTGGGGAGGATGCCCATGATGCCCATTTGAGATTGGACTGTGCCCCTCTCATGGAGCATTTTCCCACGCTAAGCTCGAAGGTCTGTACCACTTTGGCATCGCCAGGCGCCGGTTCGCCTCCGTCGCCTTCACAACTTAGCGCTCGGTCTCTGCTTTCCTCCATTTTGCACAGCGTTTCCCATTCAACCGCCGTTGTCTTTCAGAGTTACCTGCCTCTGCGCGCAGTTTGAGTCCGTCCTTCAGCATGGCTTGAAGAGGACCCGGGGGTTAGCTTTAACCGCAGCCGCCATCAAGCAAGTTACCGGTTTCGCCAGTAAAACTGAAATGGGTAATTCAGCCTCTTCCTCATTTTTTTTTTTAAAATTAACAATGCTTTGGCAGTCTTCCTTCCGTGCCAACCGCTGGCGAGTGAACTCATTTCAACAGCATTGTGGGGAGGAAGAGATGATTGCTTCTCCTGTCTGAGTTGAGGCTTGAATGGGCCTCCTTATAATGGTTATTGCCTCCCACGTCAGCCACATCTGTTCTATTATGGTTGTGTGCCTGGAGGTGGCTCTGTTGGAAAGAGAGCTTGGCTGCAAGATCTCTTTCCTAAAAAGCAGGAAATGTGAAAAATGACACGTACACCGGTGGAATAACCCTAGCTCTCCCTGAGTTGGTTTCTGAGGATCGTGGTTCTTTGCATCGTGGTTAGTGATCTGAGATTCTGGGAACTCACTTTGGGAGCTGAAGAGGGTTGTGGTCAGGAAGAAATATTCCTTGATCGTTGCCCCTCACTCTGCAATACATTGGTGCCTCTTCCTTGCCAGTTGCAAAAAGTTAAGTCACTTTTCAGATAACTCTTAAAACACGGCAATGATTTTTTGGAGAATGGCAGCTATGCTTTGCTTCCTATGTCAGTGATTTTCAGTGTTGGTGGCTTTAAGATGTGGGGACTCCAATGCCCAGAATTCCCGAGCCAGCATGAATTCTGGGAGTTGAAGTCCACACACAATTTCTTAATCTCCCTGTGATTAAGGCATTCAGCCGCAAATTAGCTTGTGAATGGACTCAATTTGGAATCGCATAAAACCTAACTTCAACAAGACGTAAAATGAGATTTCTAAAATAGTAGAGCAGCTTATCTTGCAAACTCTTTGCGTTAAAGCCAGGATATCCAACCTTGGCAGCTGATTCTCCCAGCCAGTGTGAATCCTGAGAGTTGAAGTCCCTACGTGATTTCTGGAAATTCACGTCAAGCATTGATTTCACGATGTTTGCTTCATGATTGCCACAAAATTCAGGTCAGGTCACATGGATGCCTCAACTGATAACTGTCATCGTTTACAACAGAAGTTGCAGGTGGTCATAAGTTGAAGATACACACATACATTACATTACATACATATATCTCTTGCAAGCTCTTTGCATGAAGGCTGGGGTATCCAACCTTGGCCACTTTAAGACCTACGATAGACTTCTACTTCCAGAATTCAATTCGTGGAGTCCGGGAATTCTGGGAGTTGAAGTCCACGCGTCTTAAAACCTCCGAGGTTGAGAAACACACTCCCATGTGACTGACTGCGGGCTAGTTTAAATTGTATTGCTATTTTCTGAGAGCAATTATGATTTTGGATTTTTTTTTTATGGTTTGACATTTGTAATTGTGACAGTGTAAAAATATGAGGACTATAATAGCTGGAGAGTTCCATGCTCTCCATCCATTCTTAGCTGCCTAGAGTTGCGCTATCGAGACGAGTAGCCAAATTTCCAGGTTACTTGTGAACCTATTTTTTTTTTCTCTTCCCAGAGTCCATATTCTGGTACTATGTGAAGGAGGTTCTTAATAAACATGAGCTGCAGCGTTTCTATTCTCTGAGGAATATCACGACGGATACGGGTCGAGGCCGAGCATGGCTCCGTTGCGCTCTCAATGAACATTCCCTAGAAAGATATTTGCATATGTTGCTTGCAGATAAAAATCATCTCAGGTACGTTTTCTGAATGCTCTTCTTCGTGGGGAAGGTGGGCGTGGTTTTAAAAAATAGGACTTTTAGGTAGATACAGAGAATATTTACAGGTCAAGGTTGAATTGTGAGCTCTGTCTGCGCTTGGTTGTTTTCTGGCAGATCCCAAAATTTCCATTGCTAAGCAAGACAGTTGTTAAGTTGATGTTGAGACTCTAGAAAGAGTGCAGAGAAGAGCAACAAAGATGATTAGGGGACTGGAGGCTAAAGCATATAAGGAAAGGCTGCTGGAATTGGGTATGTCCAGTTTAATGAAGAGAAGGACGAGGGGGGACATGATAGCAGTCTTCTAATATCTCAGGGGCTGCCCCAAAGAAGAGGGAGTCAAGCTATTCTCCAAGGCGCCTGAAGGCAGGACGAGAAGCAACGGGTGGAAACTAATCAAGTAGAGAAGCAACCTAGAACTAAGGAGAAACTTCCTGACAGTGAGAACAATTAACCAGTGGAACAACCCGCCACCAGAAGCTGTGAATGCTCCAACACTGGAAGTTTTTAAGAAGAGAATGGACAGCCATTTGTCTGAAATGGTATAGGGCAGGGGTAGGCAACCTTGGCTCTTTTATGACTCATGGACTTCAACTCCCTTTTCTCTTCAGTGTCTTCTATGAAGACTGGTCCTTCCTGATGGACGAAGAACGATCCAGTATGATTCCCACCATGGCAGCCGGTAAGCATGGAGCAACGTCTTAGAACAAATCAAAGGCAGCTTGAAACCTTTTGGACTCATTTGTAGTCTGGCTATGATATCAACAAATCATTTAGCTGCGCCCTACTGAATAATCTGCAGCAAAGGTTGAGTACCAGCCTGAACCACAAATTACTGTTTACAAGCCATAACAGCTTCACTGTGAAGTAGGAGCCACTGTCACGCTGTCTCTCCTGGGAACTCAGTTTCTGCTCGTCTTAAGGAATTGCCGGGCGTGGCTAAGGAGTGGGTGTGAGTTCCCAGGTAGATTCGTGGCCAGGTAAGGCAACTGATCAAATCTGACTGATAATGAAGAACTTCCTCTATATAGATCAGGGGTGTCCAACCTTGGTGGCTTTTAAGGCCTGTGGACTTCAGCTCCCAGAATCCCCCAGCTAGACATGCTGGCTGAGGAATTCTGGGAGTTGAAGTCCACAAGTCATAAAAGGGCCAAGTTTGAAGACCCCTGATTTAGGCTGACCTAAAAGATTGTGGGGTTTTTTTTTCTCTTTACCCTAAGGGCTGAACTCCATTCTCTTTGCAATCAACATTGATAATAAGGATTTAAATGGGCCGAGCAAGTGCCCGCCCTCCGTCTCTGACCTTCTCAAGGAATCCACCCAGAACGTGACCTCTTTGCTCAAAGAATCCACCCAAGGCGTCAGCACCCTCTTCCGGGAGATCACAGCTTCGTCCCCTGTTTCCATGTTAATCAAATCCGATCAAGATGCTGACCTGCTGCCTATTTTATCCAAGTGTGTCAGTGGCGGTAAGTGCTGCTAGGAATATAGATAGCCTTCACTTAAGGACTAGTTGCTTAGTGACTGTTTAAAGTTAGAACAACACCCCCTCAAAATACTCTGACAGCTGCAGAGACAAACCCCTCCCTGAAATCCCACAACCACATTACGAACACTTGGCAACCAGCTAATGTTTATGGCCAGTTGCATGTGTTCTGCAGTTGTGCGACCGTGATTGACAATGTATTTTGTCAGTTTCTGGCAAAAAAAGGCTCATAGGAATACATTGTTTCACTTATTGACCATGTTGTTGTTAGTTGCGAAGTCGTGTCCGACCCATCGCGACCCCACGGACAACGTTCCTCCAGGCCTTCCTGTCCTCTACCATCTTCTGGAGTCCATTGAAGCTCACGCCTCCTGCTTCAGGGACTCCATCCAGCCACCTCCTTCTCTGTCGTCCCTTTCTTCTATTGCCCTCCATCTTTGCCAGCATCAGGCTCTTCTCCAGGGAGTCCTTCCTTCTCATTAGGTGGCCAAAGTACTTGAGTTTCCACTTCAGGATCTGGCCTTCTAAAGAGCAGTCGGGGTTGATCTCCTCTAGGACTGACCGGTTGGATCGCCTTGCAGTCCAGGGGACTCGCAGGAGTCTTCTCCAGCACCAGAGTTCAAAGGCCTCCATTCTTTGGCGCTCAGCCTTTCTTATGGTCCAACTTTCACAGCCATCCATTGCAACTGGGAGAACCATGGCCTTGACTATGCGTACTTTTGTTGGCAGGGTGATGCCTCTGCTTTTTAGTATGCTGTCTAGATTTGCCATAGCTTTCATCCCAGGAGCATTACCATAGCCTTCACTTAATAATCACGTTGTTTGCTTCACGATTGCCACATAAAAAGTCATAAATTCAGGTCAGGTCACATGGATGCCTCAACTGATAACTGTCGTCGCTTACAACAGAAGTTCCAGGCGGTCATAAGTTGAAGATACACACATACATTACATTACATACATATATCTCTTGCAAGCTCTTTGCATGAAGGCTGGGGTATCCAACCTTGGCCACTTTAAGACCTACGATAGACTTCAACTTCCAGAATTCAATTCCCAGCAAGGCTGGCTGAGGGATTCTGGGAGTCGAAGTCCACACAGGTCTTTAAAGTGGCCAAAGCTTGGACACCCTTGAGTTGAAGGCCTTCCCTTTGGGGCCTCTGTTCCTTCCTTCAGATTTAAAATGCCGGAAAGACCGAACGAAGAAAAAGAAGAAAATCACCAAAATCATTTCGTTCGACGACGAAGAGGGCCAACCTCTGGGGACCCCCTTACGGGGGACAGCGGCAGGAGAAGACTCTGAAGATTGTGGCGAGAGGCTTTCTGCCTCGGGAGCTTCTTCTGTAGCTGAACAGATGGACACTCTGCACGGCAACGAGGCTGGGACGTCACTCCAGCATCCTTCTGAGTATCTGAACGGGGACTGCGGCTACCTGAAACTGGATGTCAAAAGTATAGACGATGAAGAGGCCGAGGACAATGAGGACAACACCACCAGGACATTGAGGAACCACAGTGTGATGGAAGACACAGAGGTGCTTCCAAAGTGAGTCTGGTCCGAATACAGGTAGTTCTCGCTTGACGACCTGTTTGAATTTATGACAGACCCCCACAAAAGATACTTACTATCTGTCCTTGAAGTTACAACTGCTGTACCCCAACCCCCCCTGGTGGTTACATAATTGTCGGACCTGCCACAACTTTAACCTCCAAATTAAACAACAACAACAACAATCGACTCTATTTGTTGTATAGTTTAATTAGAGATCAATTGTATTGGCAGTATTGCAAAACCAGAAGTGAGAATCGCGGGCCCAAATCCCGCTTTGGGGATTTTTCTGCTTTTCCCTCCCTTAACTATCTCTCATTGCCCCCCCTCCCCCAGGGTAACCAATCAAGTTCAGGCAAGATGTTTTCATAACGGTCAGTCCAAGCCCAGATTGGCATGCGGCCCTTTACTTCTTCCAGCTGGGTGACCTTGAGGCAGCGTCTTGAGGAGACATTTTTGGTTTAACTAGACCTATTTTTTGGTTTAACTAGGCCTGCTGAAGGTGTGACGTCCCGTTCATTGGTTTGCACGGAGACTCCTCTGCAAATGCTGAACGACGACTTGGATGAATTATTCCCAGTCAGCGCTGTGGGTTCTTTCTCCCAGACTGGTAAGTAGGTTTGATATCCCCACATCTCTTCTGTGGGTCCCACAGGGCCTTTTTTTTTCTTTCAAAAACGCAACCAGACTTTCTTGGGTTTTATTTTTTCCTTTGAAAAAAGGCTTCCTAATGCCTTCTCCTTGGCCTTTGGAGCCGCCCCGTTGCATTCCTCTGTCCTACTCTCTTTTCTTGCCTGTGCATTCGTGCATCTGGGATTTGTCCCAGCTGTTCTTCATCACTGTCCAACTCAGGCTCCCAGCACAGCTGTGTCTCAGCCTGAGCGCGAGTAGTGGGGCCAGGCTCCTCGTCCGTCTGTAAGCCTTGGAGCTTCTCAGAGTCTTCCTCTGACTCTGATGTCACTCCAGTCCCCTCCTCCTCCTCCTCCTCTGATTCCCCAGACTCAGTTGTCAGGTCCACTGGCTGACAAGGAATCACAACCCATTCTTTTAGTGACCATTTGAAGTTACAACGGCTCTGAAAAAAAATGACCGACGACCATTTTTCACACTTGCGTTCGTTGCAGCCTCCCCCGGGGTCACGTGATCAAAATTCAGATGCTTGGCAACTGGCGTGTACTTAAGATGGTTGCAACGTCTCAGGATCGTTTGTGACCTTCTGACAAGCAAAATCCATGGGGAAGCCCAAGATTCCCTTCACAACCGTGTTGCTAACTTAACAACTGCAGGGATACACTTAACAAGTGTGGCCAAGAAAGGTCGTAAAATGGGGCAAAACTCACTGAACAACTGTCTCGTTTAGCAATGGAAATTTTGAGCTCAATTGTGGTTGTAGTGAAGAACTGGTGTGTGTGTGTGTGTATGTGTGTGTGTGTGTGTTAGCGACTTTGTTCCTAACTTCCAGAGCCAGCCGGATTCCAGAATTTCAGTGCTGAAGTTGCAAAATGCAGGAACCTTTTTTTTAAAAAAAGAATTCTATGCCAGCTAGTCATTATTATTATTATTATTATTTATAAATTATACTTTTATTTCCTTCCCACGCCATTCATTATGGGGAATTCCAGCGCAGCGGACAATTTAGAGCATGAATTATTTAAAAATCTAATAGAGAAGAGGGAAGCCATTAGGCAGCAGCCATAAAGGGAAAAAGCAATAATAAAATTCAATTACGCCCAAGCCACGTTTGATGAGGAGAGTTCATGTTTAGGACATTTTACAAGGAAGGTTAGGCCTGAGGGCTATAACGTTATTCCTAGTATAGGGAGAAACTTTTTTTTTTATCCATTTGTTTTCATTTTCCATTTCCCAGCACAAAATACTCTGATCCCTGGCTATCAAAAACTACCCGTCTGCGGAGTAGAGTCTGAAGTCTAAAGAAGGTCTAAAGACATAACCAAGTGGACAATCTGAAACTAGGTTTCCAAATAGCATTAAGCTGTGGTCTGTTTAACCATGACCTTTGAGATAAACAGCCATTGTTTGGGTTTACAAAGGATGCTGCTGCCGAGCTGAACAAATCACATCAAGGCTCATGAGATTTGTGGAACCTGACAATAGTTTTACTCCTTGTAGTATTCACCATCTGAGTAACCTTGCTCTTTCTTCCATGTTGAGGGTGTGAGCTGTATAATTCTTAGCAAAGGAGGTTTTCAATCTTAAATAAAGGGGTGAAATAAATTTCAACCTCCCAATTATAAAGTACAGTAGAGTGGAGTGGAGTGGAATATAGAATAGAATAGAATAGAATAGAATAGAGTTTAGAATAGAATAGAATAGAATAGAATAGAATAGAATAGAATAGAATAGAATAGAATAGAATAGAAAATATGGAACGGAATAGAATAGAATAGAATAGAGTTTAGAATAGAATAGAGTTTAGAATAGAATATTTAGAATAGAATAGAATTTAGAATAGAATAGAATAGAATTTAGAATAGAATAGAATAGAGTTTAGAATAGAATAGAATAGAGTTTAGAATGGAGTTTAGAATAGAATAGACTAGAATAGAATAGAGTTTAGAATAGAATTTAGAATAGAATAGAGTTTAGAAGAGAAGAGAAGAGAAGAGAATTCAGTTCTTTATTGGCCAAGTGCGGTTGGACACACAAGGAATTTGTTTTCGGTGCATAAACTTTAAGTACATGCAAATAACAAGTAATAAGCATTTAGTTTGCAGATATTGCAGAAAGAGAGGGGTGTTAATGTATGGTAGCTAAAAACCAGAAAGAATTTAGTAGCACCTTTTCCAGCTAACATGTATTTGTTCTCAAGATATAAGTTTTCATGCAAAGCTTACACCTTTTAATAGAACTTGTTAGTGCTGCCAGACTTCTTCCAATGTTTAATTTAATGTATTGCTATTTCTCCACCTTGAAATTTTCATCGGGGGGGGGAATTTCCCCGATACAGTTGAATTTGGAGTGGAATTTAACAAGTCAGCGCACAAAAGAGAAGGTGTGAGAATGTGTGCGATAACAGAAGTAACAGAATAACAGAGTTGGAAGGGACTTTGGAGATCTTCTAGTCCAACCCCCTGTTCAAGCAGACAAATGGCTGTCTAGTCTCTTCTTAAAAACTTCCAGTGTTGGAGCATTCACAGCTTCTGGAGGCAGGTTGTTCCACTGGTTAATTGTTCTCACTGTCAGGAAGTTTCTCCTTAGTTCTAGGTTGCTTCTCTCCTTGGTTAGTTTCCATCCATTGCTTCTTGTCCTGCCTTCAGGTGCCTTGGAAAATAGCTTGACTCCCTCTTCTTTGGGGCAGCCCCTGAGATACTGGAAGACTGCTATCATGTCACCCTTGGTCCTTCTTTTCTATATGTGTGTAGAGTTGAAAAAGGGAAGAGCCGTAAGCCAAGGAAAATAATATTTTTACTAACATACATTTCTATCGGCTCCTTTAGAAAATCTGGAGGATGGCAACGAACACGGAAGGGCAGATTTTTCAGTAGAATTGACTCAGAGCAATGCTGAATTGCACTACAGGTAACTAATCAATTACAAGGTCATTCAACAAAAATGAGCAACCTACAGTACTGGGTTGGATAGGTGTTCTGCTTTTCATGGACATTTCTGCTGGTGCCTGCAAGTATCCCAGCTTCTCCTGAATATATTTCGGCCTACAAAGTTTTAATTTTTAAAAAGGGGAAACCTTTTTATTTTTTGCCTGTTCAGGGCTGTGTGTGAGTATGTGGGGGCTGCTAAACCTCCAATATTACTGTAAGAATGTTTCTGTATCCCAATAAATAAATACTGGGAGATGCTAATAAATCAGTAGGTGGATGCAACCCAGTGCTTTTTTTTTGTTTTATTTTTTGGGAGCATGCCAGGGAAAGGACCAACATGTGGGGGGAGTTGAAACATGGGGGGGGGGTCAGGAGTAAAGGAGGGCTGAAGGAAGAAGGGGAAGTAGGCTAAGGGAACTAGGTTCTGTATGTTTAGCCCAGGGGTAGGCAACCTTGGCTCTTTTATGACTCGTGGGCTTCAACTCCCAGAATTCCTGAGCCAGCCATGCTGAGGGGAAAGAGGTTTCCAAGCTGAGCCAAAGTGGCTCAGGAATTCTGGGAGCTGAAGTCCAACGAGTCATAAAAGAGCCAAGGTTGCCTACCCCTGGTTTAGCCTAAGAAAGAGGAGGCTTAGAGGAGACATATTTGGTGTCTGTAGTGGTTAAGACTCCAGGCTAAAAACCTGGAGATTGGGAGTTCTAGTCCTACTTTAGGCATAAAAGCTGGCTGACTGTGTGGCCTCAGTCCAGTCCCCCTCTCTCGGCTCCAGGAAGCAAGCAATGCTTGCTTGTTACTTCAGTCTGATTGGAACATTCTTCAATTTGTCGTGCTGTTTTTAAAGCTGGCCGTTCTGAAATCAGCTAAGTTGAGCTAAACCAGGCGTCTTCAAACTTGGCCCTTTTATGACTTTTGGACTTCAACTCCCAGAATTCCTTAGCCAGCATGCCTGGCTGAGGAATTCTGGGAGTTGAAGTCCACAAGTCGTAAAAGGGCCAGGTTTGAAGACCCCTGAGCTAAACCCTCTTACATTCATACGTCTTGATGCCAGAGTTTAGATTTGAATGAGGGCAGTGGCCTGTGTTGGCTACATAAGACTTCCTTGGATAGCCCAATCCATATTAATGAGAATTTGAGGCTTCCTGTCTGCAAAAGCTCCTGCAGGATAATTTGATTAGGCTGGAATGAATTGTTTTTACTCTTGTTTCAGTCGTTCTAATTGTTTTAGGTTGCTTTTTTTTTTTTTAACCAATCTCCCTCTCTATTTTTATATTTAGGGTAGAAACCAGTTCTCCTGTTCACAAGAATGCATTAACTGAACTTCTGCCTTCAGACAGCATGCCAGAATCAATGACTGTGGGTAGGTAGCTATTTGACTGTATTTGGAATCCCCCCCCTTTTTTT